TGAGTTGGAATTGGCCTCTTTTACTATGGTTCACACTTTTCATAAAGTTGCTGGACATCTTTTAAAACTCTTGCATGTAATCTATTGAGGAATCTCTGCAGAAATTATTAAAGATCATCTGGCAAACAGAAGTAAAAGAACATAGACCAATTTGCAGCATGAATGAAAGTTGGCTTTGTTTGGTGTAAAATATTTTACAATATTTTAAGTCATTGATATTAAACTTGTGATTTTTGTTTTAAGGAATACTGAAAATAAATTGATGGAAACATTTACTAAAAACTTAAAAAAAAAAAAAAAACAAACAACAGCAGCTGCTAAGTTACAAATAAACCCTAGGGAGTTAGGTGTGGTAGCATGAAGACCTGTTCTGACCCTATTGCAGGGCCCAAGCAGAGAATGATGAAAGCGTGGACTCAGATGGTTGCAGAGGAGGTGGTGAGAAGTGTTTAGATGCTGGACATATTTTGAAGGTAAAGCCAACACATACACACCTATAGATTTTCAGGCACTTTGGATGTAAGGATAAAGAAAGCAAAAGCAATCTCCTGAGTAGCTGAAAGAATGAAATTATTTAGTGAAATTGGGAAGACTGGTGGGATGAAGAACAGGAAGGCAGTGTGAGATGTAAGTGTGAAATGCCTGTTAGGCAGCCAAATAAGTGTATCAAGAAGGCAGTTGGATTCAGCATCCTGACCTTCAGAAGGGAGATCAGGCCTGGAGAGAGACATGTGGGAAACATCGGTGTAGATGGTATTTAATACTGTGAGCACTGATGATATCACTGAGTGAGCAAGTGTAAGTAGGACAGAAGAAAAGGCCAAAGGCTGAACACCATGGTGCTCCAATATCAGAGTTATGGAGGGGGAAGTGGTAAGCAGTGAGGAGACTGAGGAGCGCTCGCTGGAGAGGCAGGAGGAAAACAAGGACAGTTTGGTGTCCTGGAAGGAAATGGAGCATCGATTGTTTCAAATGCCACTTGTAGATCAGGTGTGGTTAGGGCTAAACATCCATCGTTTGAGGATTCCTATTGATGATATAAAGTCAGTGCCATAGCCTATGCTCTGTGCTAGAAACACAATGAAAAATTGTTTATTGTCCCCCTTTCCTAAGATTCATACAGCTCACCCCCTTTCTCCAAACATATGCTTTTCTTTTCATACATGGTAAAATAAAAGTCATTAGACTCATTTTTCAAAGTTACTCTCCCTCTCTGAAATAACATCATATTAACCATGATTGTACTTAAGAGGTTCCCACAAATCTCAATCGCTCGTTTATATACACACCTATAGATTCTTTGGCTGCACCGGTAACTAGCTAATCTCATCCTACACATGTGGAGTTTACTGTTTTATCTCCTGGAGACACCTTACTTACAAGGTGTTATACCTTTTTCGTTGGCAAATTTAGAGACTGAAAATTCAAATGGGGTTTTAAAATGTTCTGTGAGTACACTGCATCACGTTGTCGACTCCCCCCACCTCCACTACTCAGTTCAGTTTCTAATACTTATTAATGAGCCTTCATTCTCCCATCCATCCAGCCACTCAAGAAATTTGTATCATTGGGTAGGTATTAGAAGCACAGCTCTTCTAGAAATCTAAAGTCATTGTATTAATATAAATAGAAAAACATAAGTGACAGTTGTTCATACTAGAAATTTGATTATTTGCTGCATAAACCATTTTTAAATTATATTCCAATTATAGAAGTAAAAACACCAGAGTCACAAATGTTTATCCATCTGCAATGGGAACATGATTTATATAGTATGCCTGCACTAATAAAAACAGAATTACTTGGATGAGTAGAGTGCAATATTGATTTAGTCATTTGCTCATACACTCATGAGGTATTTTTCCTCTTTATTTTTCTGTGAAACTAATTTCAAAGAAGAGTGTAATTTTAAAATCTAAAGGACCATTTGTTCATCAGGCTGATATTTCAGTTAGAATGAATTCCTTTGAGAGCATGAACGTACACCCACCGACATGTCTGTAACAGAAATGGTTTCAGAAGATTCTAGGCTGCTGCGGACTTCCCACAGCCTCGCAGCAAGACAGCGGTGGTCTTGAGGACTGACACTTCATCTTTTTGAAGACAGACACCCTCCAGTTGTCACCCTGCAGGAAATCAGGAAGTATGCTAAGCTATCCAGAGGACTTAGAATTACACAGCGTCATGTCAGTGGAAATATCCTAGCCAACGCTGTGATTTCTTTTGAAGGGGAGTGGTAAAAAAAAGAAAAAAGAAAAGGAAAGAACAATGAAAAGAAGCTGCTCACAACATGGCCAAACAGCTGGCTGGTTTTATAATCCAGGAACAGCTTGAAACTCACTATACTCACAAGATCTCTTGGCAGAGTAGCTTGATGAAAATACCAAAGCTGTGAGAAGTGTTCTTTTGCTGAATCCTTTGTCGCTATCATATGTTTTATTAACCTAACCGAGAACATGTGCACCATTTATTTTAAATAAATAAATGAAACTGTGTGTTTCAGTGAGGAATTTACTGATTTTATGTACAACCACAAGTATGATTCACCATAGAATAAACACCAAATAAATCTTAATAATTTTCAGAAACTTTAATCCTACACATGTAGTGATTTCCTCCTTCCTTTCGAATAGCATTTTTAGGAGCACTCAAGGGAGAGTTTGATAAGACAGAAATTAAGCATGAATTCAAGGGCACTGGTGATTTTTTAGATGCCACAATTAGTATCTAACGGGAACTAATTTTAATTGCTTTATGCATCTATTGATTCATTCTTTTAACATTTAATTGATACCTTCTTAAGTAACACAGACAACTTACACATGTTTCTGGTTCACCTGCTAGATGCCAGAACTGTGGAATATACAAGACCCGCAGTTTTAGAATTTTTTACAGTAGGGAGGGTATCCAGTATTTTTAGATTCAGTATATTTAGCAGGCCTTGCATTCTGTCATCTTCAAATGTGTTAAGTGAATTTATTCTTTACTAAGTATCCAAGGTAGACTCAATTAGCTGGGACATTTCATATTTTTATCATGAAGCATTTTGAGTTTATGCTTTGTGACATCAGAATTAGTTTCTCGTCTCAGAGTTTGCTATATTTATTTCTCTAGTGACTCAGTAGTTTATTGGCAGTCAGTTTGTAAATGCTCTCGGGGATTATCTAAATGCAGGATGTTCAGAATGGAAACACATACCATTCCCTCTCCTGTCAAAAAATGTAATTAACACACATGATATATGATCTTGCAAAAGTGGGTGAAAATTCTAGTGGGTGACCTCAAGTCACAGTTTCCCAGTACATGCATGGACTGTCTGTCATGCTCCCGGACAGCTTCCAGCCCAGCACAGGATTCCTTTCTTCTTGTATTCCTGTCTCTTTAGCCTCCTGTTCACGCATGCACATGCTTGTGTGTGTGTGTGTGGGGGGGGGGGTGATCAGTCTAAAACCTACCACTCAGTTTCATTGTCTTTAACAAGTTTGATTTGATTTAATTTATTGCATAGGTAATGATGCAATTACAAAGTACAGAAAATAAAAGTAATTTTTCCTATCAGTATAAGTGTTGCCTCATTCTTTTTTATGGTGTGCTAATTCGGTATATAGATATATAATTTATTTAACCAGTTGCACATTGATGGATATTAGATTGTTTTCAGTTTTTTGCTATTATTAAGAATGCTGTCTAGGAATAATATATATGTAATATCTATAGGATAATTTCCCAGAAGTGGAATTGCTAGGTCAAAAATTGCTTGCATATATAATTTTGATAGTTATTGCCAAGCTCACTTTCATAGGTGTTTGTGCCATTTGGCACTCACCTGTAAGTGTATGAGAATGCCTGTATCTCTCCAGTCTTGCCATCACGAAGTATTATCAATATTTGGGGGTTTGGCCACCTGAAAAAGGGGGGAAAGTTTGTTATTGTGGCTTTAATTAACAGTTCTCTTTTAATTAATGAGTGAGGTTCACTGTCTTATCAAAGTTAATAGCCATTTATATTTTCCTTGAATAGAGTCCCCCTATATCTTCTGTCTGCTTTTTCTGTTATGTTGTTGGTCTTTTTTCTTGTTGATTTATAGGAGTTCTTTAGGTATGAGGGAAAAATCTGTGATAGGTCTTCCCTTTATCTGTGATAGGAGTTCTTTTTATCTTATCAAACTGATTTATTCCTCATTAAAATTTTATGCTCTTGTGAAATCCGTGTGAGAGCATGTGGGATTCATGCACCTTTGAAGGGTAGTTCCTTTGCAATTTCTCTATTCTGTGCATAGAAAACAGTACAATTAGATTTTATTTCTTTTGGTGTCAGTTGTGCTAAATTATTTTCCTAACAAATCTACCATTCCAACCAGATTTTACTGTATTTTCATAGAATGTGTTATACCTTTGATACATTTTTGTCTTGATCTACAGTTACTAAAGCACTAACAATAAGTGAACAACTGATTGAAATCTCTTACTGTGATTGTAGATTTGTCTAGTTTTCAGTGAAGTGAGTCAATTTTTGCTCTCTGTATACTAAGGCTATATAATTAGATACTTTGAAGTTCAGAACTATTTTAAGCACTTGATGATTTCCTGTTTTTGTCTATTTTGTAGCTTTTTTTTTTTTTAAACCAAGATTTTTTATTTTCCACTTTATACCAGGTTCTTAAATAATTTTAAGGCACAATACTTTTCAGAAAAAAAAAGTGATTAAAAAATTTATGGAACTCCTAGGAAGGTCAAAAGATGCAATGCCTTGGAACAGGGGATTATGGGTAATTGCAATATATAGAAGATACATAACACATAAACAAATATATTGCATGTACATGTATTAAAAGGTCCATAAAATCCCCAGTTACTTCACTTTCTTCCAGTAAACATGAAGCAACATTTGCCTAATTATTTGGGAGTAGAGAGCTTAACCTTATTTTTCCAAGGAAAAGCAAAACAGAATATTTAGTTTTTGGTGAACTTAATTGTTAAATTATTCCCCACACTGTGTAGATTCACATCTCTTTGATCAATGGGAGACCAAGTGCGGATGACCCCTCTCCTGAACTGCTGGAATTCACCTCTGCTCGTTATATTCGCCTGAGATTTCAGAGGATCCGCACCTTGAATGCCGATTTGATGATGTTTGCTCACAAAGACCCAAGAGAAATTGACCCCATTGTCACACGAAGAGTAAGTTATGATGAATCATACTGCAGCCTGTGAATGATATTGCACCTTTCTTTTTAAGATAGGTGTTTTCATGATTTGTAGGAGTGGTTATTATGAAAGACTTAAAATTTGATAGAAATTTTTTGTTCAAATCCAAGCTCAGCTACTTATTAGATGTGTAACATTTGTCAAACTTTTTAACACTTCTAAACTTTGATTTCTTCTTTTGTAAAATATTATAATGCCTAGTTCATCATCTTATTTTTGAGGACTAAGTTTTGTCACTTGGGTGATCTGTACTATTATAATTGGCTTTGGGGAGTTACTATAGGATGTTGAAACATTTTTGGCTGCAACCAACACTAAGAAATACATTTTACATAATGGCTCAGTACACACACACACACACACACACACACACACACACAGAGCAATAAATATTAAACCTTAATGTGCACAGAATCAGCTGGTGATATTGTGAAAATGCAGGTTCTGATTCAGGAGGTCTAGGGCTGAGTTGAGAAATTCCATTTCTATCAAGTGCCCAGTAATGTCAATGCTGCTTGTCTGGGGACCATTTTGTCCAATTACATAATTTAGTTTTATGCTTTATTAATAAATCATAAGCCATGGTTTTAAAAAGCACTACTGTAGGGGAAAACTGATTTTGTATATTATTTTATTTTACTTCATGAATAGAATATCAGAAAAAATGCTTATAACATCCTTTCAACAGATCTTTAAAAACAGGAGCTAGCAGAGGTGCTGTTTTCCAGTGTTAAACTGGAATGTGTGTAATTATGGCATAGATGATCAGCCCAGGTTGCTATGAGTGATAACTGTGCTTCCTCCTCTCTATCCCCCACCATGGGTACTGGATTATATCAGCTCCCTTATATGCTGCTATACACCCAAGACATTATTACCAAGAGAGTCGATTCAGCTACAAATCCATAAAACAAATCCATGCTAAGAGAATATCTACTGTGTGACTAGAGGCAAAGGTAAAAGAGGATTGTAGGGGAAACTAAGACTGTGGGACAAAATTCAGTTCTAAAATGATCTTACTAAACTCACTCTATTGCCAACAATGGCCAAATTGCTGAACCATTAAGCTGAATATTGAAGGGCAACGCTTTTTATGGTTCATGAATTCCCCTAATATATTTTCTCTTCTCATTATATAAATTGCCCTTCCCTAATCTCTCCATCATTACAAAATAACTTTTAAAGTTTTGTTATTCCCATACAACACATGTTCTTTGTGTTAGTGCCCCGTATTTTCCAAACCTAAAATAATTTTACCATGTATTATACATCAGTGTGTTGTAAATTATCCTATGCAGAAGTAATCATTATTTTATAGCAATGTTAGATTCTTGTTTTAAAAAATCACTTTTAATTTTAATTTTGGCATGATTTAAAAATATATACTGAGAAAGACTAAGTAATTTTGAAGGGAAATTTAATCTTTCCTGACAGTATATCTATCAGAGGGGGTAAAAAATCAATGGAAATAAATGTGTTTCTTTTATCATCTTTTGCAGAAGGCAAAGTGGGGGTTGGCGTGCACATCTATTTATAACTTCATTGTACATGAGCCTTTAAAATAGCACAGTGAAATTCAACATTTAAATATGTTTTTTAAAAGTAAAGTTCAATGAACACTACATGTAAATTTAAATATATAAAAATAGAATATTAAATTCAACTCCTTTCAATGACTCAAAGTGAAGCATTACACATTTATATTTAAAACAGATTTCCCAACTTAAAAGCATCTATAAAAACTACTGTATCAATTTTCCAAGCAAATATCCCTATTTCTATCTATATTATTATTTGAGGAAGTTAGTAAAAAGCAGACTTTTTACCTCAACTTCCTAGCAAATTTCATAAATTTGAAGCTTAGGTATATCAAGTAAGGTGATATAACAAAAATATTATAAAATATACTACATGTAAACAGCAAAAACAAACAAACAAAAGGAAAAAGAAAAGAGTAAATGGAAAGGGGACCTTGTGGTCAGGAAATAGGTTTTTGTCTATCTACTTATTCTCGCTAAATCTGTTTTATATGTGAATAATTAGAATAATAGAACTATATGCCACTGAGATGGTTATTTGGATTCCATATGACAATGTTTATGGGTAAAATTCTATAATTATAAATAATCTTTAAGAATAGCTGGGTAAATATGTAAAGTTATTTAGACTTCAGATAGGGAAATAATTGCATGAACATTTTAACATTATAATGAAGAAAGGCTAGTGGTCTGCCCACCTAGTTTACTCCTTACATTATGTTAACTCAATCTTGCAGCTTGTTATGTTTCACTTCCTTCTTTATAAGTTTAAGAAGTGGATTGCTATGAGCACATTCCCCTAAATGTGTTGATTCTTGTCAAATTCATCAAATAAAACAGTGTACATATGATTCATGGGTACTGAGGTTTCTATAATGACAACAAAAGAGGTTTTCTTTCAAGTAACTAAAACAGCTCTTATGAAGAATTATAACAACTTGACCTCAATAACAGATACTTCAGCATGGACTTTGTACTGTCTGTGGGAAAGAAATTTCTAGAATGCCCACCCAACATAAATTAGAGGTGTTCTTTCTTTGGGTTGTAACTGCAATGTGAGGAGTTACTTGATCACTTTTGTGAGCCCTCAGTTGTCCCAGAGAAACACAAATGTGCTTCAAACTAAGGATAAAAGTAAAGTTTTTAACTGAATGTTCCCTTTTGTTGTTTTCACCTTGCGGTCATCTTAACAGGATTCCTCTCTGATTGCTTTTTGCAGTATTACTACTCGGTCAAGGATATTTCGGTTGGAGGGATGTGCATCTGCTATGGTCATGCCAGGGCTTGTCCACTTGATCCAGTGACAAATGTATGTATATTTATAGGATGCTTAGGCAACATGAAGCTCTGAGCTGTAAAACGTTTCACGAGAGGCTTTGCGGAGAGGGACCCTGAAGGGGTGTCAGGTCCCAGCTTAGACAGTGTAACAGGAAGCTGTGAGAGGGCGAAATGGAGCTGGCAGTCAGGAAGATAGACTTTGAAGTCAGCCATCACAGTATCAGAAACCAGATTAGGTTCCCCCCTCCTCAAAAGGCTCCAAACCGGTCTTTCTATTTTGAAACCTCTTTTGCTATGACAGCCTGCTGTATGATTTAGCTTTAGAGAATGCCTGCCATCAATCAACCTGAGCATTTCTTTCAAAAGTTTTCATAAAAAAATTAATGCAAACAAATGAAAAATGTGCACGGAGGTGAATATACATGGCCATGGAACAGGAGACTGAGGTGGGGGGAGGGGCAATGAGGAGTGGGGTGGAACCGTATTCAAGAGAGAGTTGAAACTGCTAGGCCAGAAAATGCTGAAATGCTTTTGGGTCAAATTTTTCATTAATGACAACATATTAAGTGAACATAAACTGAAAAGAAGATGAATGAGCATCTTTCTTCTCAGTCATAAACAAGCTAGTGAAATGCAAAATCATTTGCTGTACAGCATATGGAAGAAATATATTGAATAGTAAGATCAGTCAACATAGCTACCTGCATATATATTTTTTTCTCCTACTAAAATTGTAATACAAATGGAATTTCTCTAAAAGCTAGTTTTCTGACTGATGCATCATAATATTACCTCCTAGGGAAGGTTCAAGCACCCTGCTCTATTTACCTGGGCATGTTAGTGGTGCTGCTTTCTGCAGGCATGTGTCTATCAGGGGTTGCGATGAGCAGTGTTTCTCAAGATTTGAGAGCCCGTAAGGTAACCTTGGAGGGCCAGTTCCATGTGATGAATCAAGAGTGTACTCAACAAACTAACAAACAAAATAGAAACAGACTTATAGATCCAGAGAACATACTGAGAGCTGTCAGAAGGGAGGGGGGTTGGGAGGCTGGGTGAAAAAGGTGAGGGGATTAAATAAAGAAATAAAAACCTCATAGACACAGACAACAGTGTGGTGATGACCAGAGGGAAAGGAGGGTCGGGAGGTAGAAGATGGTTAAACGGGGGTAAATGGTGATGGAAGGAGGCTTGGCTTGGGGTGGTGAAAATACGGTACCATATACACATGATGTATTACAGGATTGTACACCTGAAACCTATATAATTTTATTAATCATCGTCACCCCAATAAATTCAATAAATTAAAAAAAAAAATTCTGTACTTGGAGCACACAGGTGATTCAGTCCCGGGACATTTGATCTCTATAGTAATTACATACTTCGATCCCGAGAATCAACCCTCTTCCCTGTGCCCACACTCCCAAATGCTAACAGTACTTTGAGGGAAGCCTTAATATGCATACATCCAACCCTGAAAACTTTCTCAGGTATCAAAGAAGTGATCTCAGCCTTCAAGGCTACTCCCAAATTGGACCTCTATAGTCCAGTGTCAATCGAATAACTGTTTCCAAGACAGGCACCTCTTCCTCCCCAGACTGACAGGAGTTTTACATAGTCTAGAAATTTTCTCTTCTCTTCATTCTACCTCTCAGAGAAAGCCTTTCATTTATGGTCTAAAAACTGCTAAAAATGGCTTCCCCCTTTTCGACTAGAAATCCCGCTGTGAATGCGAACACAATACGTGTGGCGACAGCTGTGACCAGTGCTGTCCAGGATTCCATCAGAAACCTTGGCGAGCTGGGACTTTTCTGACTAAGAGCGAGTGTGAAGGTATGTTCCTGAGAAGCCAACAACATGTATAATTCTTCCTTTTCTGGGACACAGGTAATATAAACATGGTGATTTTAGGGAAGCACTACTTCCAGTTTCTATGTTTTATCCAAGCCAATAACTTATAATCTCTTTTTACCCTGCTGTTTCAGTTACTCGGCCTTTTGTGTGTGTATTTGTTTATTTGGTAAATATTTACCAAACATCTATGAATTTATCACTGTGTGAGGGTTATGATAAATAGATAAAAGCACAGTAAACACTTATTGTCATCAGGGTAAAACTTAAGTAAATAGTTTGAATATCCATCATCTAATAAAGGGAGAAAAACCAGAGAGAGAGATTGTACCCTATAGTTTAGAGACAGACAGTTTGAAAAAAAACACAAAACTGATTCATTAGTTAAACTTACTAAAGGGTGGTGTTTGGGGACAGTAGCTTAGAAGAATATGAGAGTAAAAGGTAACAGAGATGGTAGAAATCAAATTAGCAGAAAAAATATTTTAATAATAAACATTAATGATTTAAATGAATGGTTTCTTATTAATAACAGTATAAAATGCCAATATTAGAAATAGCATTGTGCTAATCATTAGCATAGACTATGCTATAGGAATTATCATATAGTAAAAACCAAACAAAAAGCCAAGACAGTAGTTAAAAACAATAAAACAACATTTATATTTTAATATTATCACTTTTGAAGATAATCCGTAGGTCCAATTTTTCCTGAACAGAAATACCCAGTAAGTATAGCAGGTGAGTTTATAGCCTGATATTGCAAACTGGCCCAACACAGTGATAGAAATGCTAAGAAATCTGTGTTCCTGAAGACCTTCTCAGGCTAAGACAAGACCTAAAAATGAAGACTCGTGTTGGACTATAATTTCAATGGACTATAATTAGCAATGAGTGCTAATTCAATTGAATTCAGATATTAATATTTTGGTTAATCAGTCCTAACCACATTTTTCAGTTTAGTAGGAATACATGACTTCCAACACAGGCCTGGTAGCCAATTTTTAATTAACCCTAAATTTTTTTCTTTTTTATTGTTCAAAATATTACAGATGTCCACTTTTTTTCCCCATTGACCCCTTCCCCCCGACACACCCACTCCTGTCCCCAGGCCTTCCCCACACTATTGTCTATGCCTATGGGTTATGCATATATGCATAAAGATTCTTTGGTTAATCTCTCCCCACCCACCTACCACCCCCACATTCCCTCTGAGAATAAACACCATTTACTGAAGACTCACGTCAATGAATCTATTTTGTTCATGTTTATTATGTTCATTAGATTCCACATATAAGTGAGATCATGTGATATTTGTCTTTTTCTGCCTGGCTTATTTTGCTTAGCATAATATTCTCCAGGTCCATCCATACTGTCCCAAAGGGTATGAGATCCTTCTTCTTTGCAGCTGCATAGTATTCCATGGTGTGAATGTCCACAGCTTTTTTATCCACTCATCTACTGATGGGCACTTGGGCTGTTTCCAGAACTTAGCTATTGTAAACTGTGCTGCTGTGAGCATAGGGGTACGTATATTCTTTCTGATTGCTGTTTCAGGCTTCTTAGACTATATACCTAGAAGTGGGATCACTGGGTCAAAAGGCAGCTCCATTTTTAATTTTTTGAGGAACCTCCATACTGTTTTCCATAGTGGCTGCCCCAGTCTGCATCCCCACCAGGGTTCCCATTTCTCCACATCCTCATCAGCATGTGCCATTTGTTGATTTGTTGATGGTAACCATTCTGACAGTTGTAAAGTGATACCTCATTGTGATTTTAATTTGTACCTCTGATTATTAGCGACACTGAGCATTTTTTATGTCTCTTGGCCATCTGTATGTCCTCTTTGAAGAAGTGTCTAGTCAGGTCCTTTGCCCATTTTTTTATTGGATTGTCTTCCTCTTGTTGAGTTGTATGAGTTCTTTGTACACTTTGGAAATTAGCCCCTTATCAGATGCATCCTTGGCAAATATGTTTTCCCATACTGTGGGGTTCCTTTGTATTTTGAGGCTGATTTCTTTTGCTGTGCAGAAGCTTTTTAGTTTGATGTAGTCCCATTTGTTTATTTTTTTCTTTTGTTTCTCTTGCCCTAGGAGATGTATCGGTGAAAATTCCACTACATGAGATGTCTGTGACTTTACTGCTTGTTTTCTTCCAGGATTTTTATGGTTTTGTGACTTCATTTGAGTCATTTATCTATTTTGAATTTATTCTTGTGTGTGGTGAAAGTTGGTGGTCTAGTTTCATTTTTTGCATATATCTGTCCAGTTTTCCCAGCACCACTTATTGAAGAGACTGTCTTTACTCCATTGGATGCTCTTGCCTCCTTTGTCAAGTATTAACTGACCATAATGGTATGGGCCTATTTCTGGCATCTCTGTTCTGTTCCATTGATCTATATGTCTGTTGTTGTACCAATACCAGGCTGTTTTGATTACAATGGCCTTGTAGTATAGTTTTATATCTGGTAAAGTGATTCCTTCAACTCTGTCCTTCTTTCTCAAGATTGCTGTGGCTATTCGGGATTTTTTTTGGTTCCATATAAACTTTTGGAATATTTGTTTTAGCTCTGTGAAATATGCTGTTGGTATTTTAATAGGCATTGCATTGAATCTATAGATTGCTTTGGGTAGTATGGACATTTTAATGATATTAATTTTTCCAATCCATGAACATGGTATATTCTTCCACTTATTTATATATTCCTCTATTTCTTTTTTTAGTGTCCTGTAGTTTTCCGAGTATAGGTCTTTTACATCCTTTCAACCCTAAATATTTATTAAATGAAAAATATTTATCATTTGTCACGCATCAGTCATGGTAGGTCTTTAATACTATTGAATCATAGCAAACTTTAATCACAAAATATCCCCAACCATAAAATACATTTTCTTTTCATTTTAAGATTCTGTATATACTATCCATGTCTGGAGTCCCTTAATTTTTCTGCACTCACTTTTGCTTTTTGATCTGTGTCTACCTGCTTGTGATATATTTTGGTTTAGAAATCACCCATCATTACTGAGACATATCTGGCAGAATGGGCCACCTCCCACACTACTATTGTACAGGGGCCACAGGTGTCATACCCCATCCCTGTGAGCCTCTCAAGTTTTCCACTGC